TGACTGTGCAGTTGTCTCTTCAGCAATCCTGGCACAAATTCAACTTTGAGTAAAGGTCACTCAAGGTTTACTACTCGAAACTGTGTCACTAAATGTTGATACAGGTGTCACAAGTCTGAGAGCAGAAGAAAGTCTGTACATATAGCAGCCCTGTCTCCTAGAAATCTAGCTATGTATAAAATGACTTTGCAACTTCGAATATATTTTAAATGAAAGGTTATACCACCTGATAACATTTTCTATTAACATACATGGGTAATGTGGAAGCCTGTCTACTGTCTGGTGCTGGGTGGTGGTATGAACTTTATCAGTCAGGCTACTGGGGCGCCCCCATTTTACCCTTTTTAAAATATAAATCTTGGTTAGAGCAGCTTTAACATTTGATTACTTCTATATTACGTTTAATTGCGTTTTCTGACTGTTCAGCTTGACCACAGCTCTGCAGGAGAATCTAGGAAGCTGTTCTGATTAGTTTTGGATGTGATCTCCATTTGTTGTGTTGATCTTACCTACTGATACTTTTCTGTTACTCCATGTTGCTTCCTCCCCCCTTTCTTCTTTTTACAGGTACTTTTCTTCCGTAGTTATTACTTTATTCCTTCTTTATTCCCCCTTTCTCCCCCCTTTTGAAGATTCCTTCTTTCCAACATTTTTCTACCACTGCTTTTCATCCCTCCTTTCTTTACTTCTCTTTACTTTCATCCATCTTGCCTACTTCATCTTGATCATACTTCTCTCTTTCTGTCTAGACAGACTCAGCAGTAAATATTCTGCAATCAGCCTCTCATACCTCTCTGCTCACACAGGGCTGCTGCTGTCAACACACACTGATGGGACTCTGTATGTGTTTACATACCTCCTTCCAGCTCTAGTTTTTGATCTACGTGCCAGTCTATTTCACATGCAAATGATTTAAAGTGCATCCCTCTCTTTCTGTCATCCCTCGCTTCGTCCAGCTGCAGTGTGAGCTAGAAAGAGGACGTCTTTGTCTCAGTAGACTGTATCGTCAACAAACCCTGAAAACTGGAACACAAGATTTTCAATAGTGAGTCCAGTCAAATATATGTAGAAATACATATATTCACTGGAAATGTTTCTCTCCAGCTCAGAAGTGAGACCTCCTGTGCAAAGCTGATAGGGACGAGGTCGGGGTGGATGCTACTGCAGCGTGACTTTCATGGGGTAAATTTCCCATAATGTAAAGTAATTAAAGCTAAAGTTTAAAAAAAGGGGCTCAAGGTAAAAACCCACACATAGCCCACTCATTCCATAGCAACATGATACCTTTTGTTGCCCCAAGCATGATGGGAAATGTAGTTCTAAAACATGTTTAAATAAAAAAATCAGCAGGAGTCTTCCAACTGCACTATCAGTACATTTTTCAGCTATTATATATTTAGAACAATGACACTCTTCTCTGTCCATTCATGTCTACTGCATGTTGAAAATTTAATGTGAACATAAGGAAAAATATCAGAATCATTTCCAATTCCTTAAACTTTTCCCCTCATTTTTTTCAACCTAACATGTAAATTGATATTTCATTTTAGCTTAACTTATTCAGTCTGTGTGTTTGTTGTTAATTTGAACCAGTTGTGAAGTGATTTTTCAGTCTCTAGTGTCTCAGTTGTTTGTATCTTCTTTGGGCTAAAATTTCTTGCCAAACAGTGGCAGGTAAAATGCTGGCTTGTGATTGGCTGAGCCCTGTCTCTTTCGCCTGACAACACATTTTTATCAGGATGTGGTGGGAAGCTATGGAGCCTCAGGAGGGATTTTACTCTGAGTCTTTTGAGGAAGTTGGAACCATAGCCAAACACATAAAACCCCAAAGCAACACAATGAAGTTTGCCTCTATTACATTCATCATCATCTGTCTTAATCTTCTTTTTAGTTTTTACACAGTATCATCTCTGCTGTCTCTCTGTTTTTAGCCCTCAATCTCTCACTCTCCCTCACCTTTTCTCTGCTCTTCATTTTTCTCTCTTTGTATGTTACTGAATGCATGGATTATAAAACATTGGGAGACATTAAGACTCTTCACTCTCTTTGAGGGATAGAATCTTAAATCCTCAATTGACCATTTTTCTCCCCAGCCAATGCTTTATCTTTAGACCAGAGGTAGTGTTGTGAATAATGCAATGTGAAAATGACTTTTGGTTTTTGGAGGAACGGTTCAGTGACAGAATCATGAGCAGCCAGTTGATCCAGAGCCAGCATCGGCAGGGCTGCTTGCAGCCCCCATGAAGGTGGACACTAATTTGGACTAATTTTGATCTAACAATGTGAATACTTCTATAGAAAACTGGTGCATTGAAAATGATGAACTCCCACTCTTGCAGTTAGTTAATCACCACTGAAATGTTTTCTTTTCTGCAAGTACTTTGTAAAACGTCTACATTTTCTCCATAAATGATTAATGTTCTTAAACTGTGCTTTAAAAAATATTTTTAGCCCAAATCATGAGTCTCCAAGCAGTGTGGTGTTGGCATGAAGTCAGAAACCGGATGTGGGTGACTCAACAATACTATACTGTACTGTATGCGTGTGTTTTTGTGCGTGTTGCTGTCGAGGTAGTGGAGGCGGTGGTGAGATCAGTTCAAGAAATAGATCCAGAAAATTAGCTTTTATACCCAGTAAAACCCAAAATCCTGCATCTTTTGGTTTCACTTTCCCCTAAATAATAATAGTTGATTTGATGAATCAAGTTAATTAAGAAACTCAGCAGTCAGTGTAAGAGATGTAATATGGTTATGGCCACTAGGTGGAAGTAGAGCTCAATTATTGGCTTCAACCTCCACTTTTCCATAGTCCCCTCACTGGAGTCTATGTGGGAGAGCAACCTCTCTTCTTTACATCTGATATTATCACCATCACATTAATCCTTCTCTGCTTCTTCTCTGCCACACTGTGTTCTCTCTCTTTCTTCCTCTCCCTCTCTCTCTCTTTCTCTCTCTTCTACATTGTGGAAAACAATTTTAAGGGGCGGGTTTAAAAACAAACTTTTTTTGAATTTAGGACACAGTGTGCACACGCTTGAAGCCATGCTTTTTGGCAATAAGAAACTACGTTATTAATAGTTACACTCCTTATTTGGTTTAAAAAATAGTGCCAAATTAACAACCTTAAGAAACAATGTAAATAATTAGCTGCTAATTGTAACTCATTGTTTCACTTGTCTGGAGACAAATGGGGTAAGGTTGAGCCGAACAGACACAGACAACAGTGAATCACTGAGTCATCGATGGACTCTGCTTCTCTCAAACACTCCGCTTCCTCTTAGCTTCTCACTGTAGGAAATGACTTGGTGATCGCATCAGGGAGAGAGGTTCAATTTCCTCTCTGACTCAGTGGAGCCTCAAACTGGCTCAATCACTTCACTTTCACCTCATATGCTCTGGTAAACCCAAGAGTTGTATACTTTGTTGATTTATTGAGGTTTGTCAGCAGTGTGCTAAAAAATTTTACTCTGGCTTATATGCACTTGTCGATTCTCTCTTTTCATTTATCTTAGGAGCAATTTCTGCAGAACAAACTATAAAAACAGAGACAAAAATGAGTTAAATAGTGTAAAAGGTCAGAAAGGAGCTGGTCTTTCTTATTTTAGGGAGTACACTTCATTGTCTACTGAGATGAGACCACAGTGCACTCACAGTGTCAGAGTGTGTGTTTGTGTGAGAGCTGCAGAGAATGTGTAATGTGTCTGTTTGTGGGCTGTGAGTCAGTGATGGGTGTGTTTATACTGTATGTAGTTACTGAATATGTGTGTGTGTGTCCTCCAGGCAGCAGAATGATTTTACAAGGAGAAACGGATAATTATGAAGGAGGGAGAGAGGAAGGGTACAGGAGTACAAGAGGCTCCCAGAAGGAGAAGGGACCACAAAGCAAAATCAAAACAAAATAGAATAAAATAAAAGACAAAGTGGAGTTATGAAAACCCAGAATGAGAAATGTTATTTGTGGACTGAAGAAACCTGAATAAGAAGAAGAAGTTGGGAGATGGAAGAGAATAAGATGGGAAGATGTGTGAAAAGGAGGAAGAAAAAGAAGACATGAAAGACTCATGTTTCAGTTCTCTAATTGTTACTTGCTCTGTGTGTGTGTGTGTGGGAGATTCATTTTCACCAGTTATGAAGTGCCAAATTAATGTGTTGGAAAAAAATACCTCTAATGGGGGATGACGCTTGTGTTGCCATAACAGTAAGGAGACTTTAGACATGAGCAAGATACAGCGGTATTCTTTTAACAAAAAATAACGACAACAGACACGTTTGTTGTGCACTGTGCCGGGAGATGCACCTGTGTGTTATAAGTCAGACTAGAGATTTGGAGACAAGAGCCAATTAGTGTAGGGTTTGTAAATTGCTAAAAGGATGTCAAGTTTTAAAATGTGTTCTCTTGAGGAAAAAAAACTATTTGTTTTGAAAATGTAAAAAAAAAAAAATCAGTGTATATCAGAGATAAAAAAAACTATGTTCCTCTCATATTCAGCAGGCAGATTTGTCAAAGGTAAATGTGTTTTCCAGGAGACGCTCCTTCTCATTCCATTTCTGTCAGCTCTCTGTTGCTCCTCGCCTCTGGTCACATCTGAACCAAAAGTGTACACAGAAGCTGCTATTATGGCCTGTTAACTTATATCTCCCTCTCTTCCCCTCTAACTCTCATCTGTTTCTGCTTAAACATGTCAGATTACATTTTCTTCACCCTTGTATCTGCATGAGAGCTGCCTATATATGTTTGCTTGCAGTTCAACATGATCCGTGTGCCACTGACCATGAAAACTTTGAGTACATCCTTCTTTTAATCGGCCTCTTCCCCTTCATTTACATTGTGGCTCATCACTCAGTTGTCTTTTTTGCAACAGCAGCATGAAACCTCAGTGAATTGGAAGGATGAAGCCATGTTTGCTTTATGTGTGTGTACATGCCTATAAATGTGCTTGGAATAGTGTGCAAAGGTTGATCTTTTTTCCAATAAATGAGAGTTTGGGATTTGATGGGGGGACTTATTTATTGCCAGCAGTCCCTTCCTCCTCATCCTCCTCCTTTTTGCCCTCTTCTTCTCCAGCTACCTTCTTCCCTTCATGCCCTCCAGCCTCTGTAATCCGCTCACAAAATTGTCCAGAAATGGCTCCGTTGACAGGAGTGATGAGAACAGGCCAGAGAGAGCCACTATATTTTTTCTTTTAAGGACATCTTGTTAAAACAGGTTGAGTATTAGTTGACCCTGTGTGGAGACTGTGAGAACTCAGCAGCACTGCAGAGAAAAGACAGAGGATGGAGACAGAAAGATGGAAAGGGAATTCACACGTGAAACCCAATTTCAAGTGTTTGTGTGTGCGTGTGATTTAATTCAAAGATAAAGTGAATAATAAAAACTCAAAAATACTGAACACCCCCCAAAACTGACATTAATTAAAATGTAATTAGTTGCCTCATTTAGCTTTAGAAAAGGCCTAATGGGGCATGTTGATAAGAGGGAGAGAAGGGACATGCAAAGATGACTGAAAGGAAGAGTAAAAAATTCAAAGAGGAAAACACGAGGGAAGTCATTGTTTTTAGTAGAAAGACCGACTCCGTGTGGCTGTGTGTGTGTTTGTCTGCTGAGGGTGACTGTGCATTTGCACGTAGACTACATTTATTTGCGTGTAAGTGACAGCATAATATAAAAGAAGAGAAACTGAGGGAAATGTGAGGAAGAAAGAAGGAACAATGAAGAACAAAGTGAAGGTGTTAGTGGGTGATCAGTGTGATCAGGTAAAAACACAACTCCCTGATGTGTTTAACGCAAGGGGCTACATTGGTCGGGGGAACGGGGGATGTTGCAGGGAGATTGTTGTAGGCTTCATTCATGCTTTTTAGAGAGGTTACTTTCCCAGATCTCAGCAGTTACTTTGTGAAGGCTATGGGTTCATAAATGACAGAAATAATCATTCAACTTACAAACATCAAGTCCAAGGTGTGATAAACCAGAATGATCCTTTAAAAAGGATGTACTTGTATGTTACAATTCACCTGCGAAGAAAGATCCAGCTTAAAAACTAGAAAACTTGAATGCTAAGGTGCTACAGTGTCTGCGACTCTGGCTTCTGTGCCGTCACTGCATAGGTTTTGATATGAGAGAGTCAGAGAGATATAGAGACAGATGAATAGCAATGGAAGAGACATTTAATAATGTCAGAGGAGTGCTGTGCCAGTATAAGTTGGAACAGCAATCAACAACAGTGAAAACAGAGTTATTGATATGGATTGGTTGTAGATTCTGTTTCTGAGTCGCTTGTTTTCAGCATTTAGTTTTTAAGCAGGAGATGTGTGTCAAGTGTCACTAACCTCAGCTGCTGTACTGAAGCTTCAGGTGTTGCTGTCTTAGCAACTTTGTCTTCAGTATTTTGTAGTTATAAAGCTGAACCTGGAACCTTGAATGCAAGCAGAGAAGGAAGAGCATGTAAACAAATACAGTAAATATAGCATTTGGAGGGATGCTGAGAACCATACATGTCCTTCTCAAAGCTGCATTGACCAAGATTTAGCACAAATTCAGGGAAATCGAGTAAAAAAAAAAAAAAGTCTGTCTCACTGCTGTACTACTAACTGCTTGTGTTACTGCAGATACATCCCCTATAAACAATGTTAGACATACGTATGTATATCACTAAAATGTAAACCTCTTTATTTGATATTGTGTCTCTGCAATACCACCAAAAACCACGGGCTTTATATTCTGTAAACCTTAGTTCTGGAGCTGGTTATTACTGCTAGATACCTGACTGCTACAACTGTCTTTGGCTGTCGTGACCACATATGACGTAGTTTCAGAGACAGGGCAGGAGGGACAAAGAGGACCAGAGGGAGAAGAGGGAAGAGGAGGGGGCGCTGCTTGAGTTTTTCTCTCTCACTTTGCCCTTTAACGGTTGAAAATCAGAGGGAGAAGTTGGTTAACGCAGCTTTAATTTCAGCCTCTAGACAAGAAACACAGGAAGACCTCACATACAGCAGCATACACACTGAATGAGATCAGGGGCAATTATATGCACTTCAGTGCAACACTTCTGCCTTAATATCTGTGCTTATGAAGCTCAATGTCTTTGGTGAAATGATCATAAATGTATAAATTGAATTATATGTTTATTATTGAGGTGATAGTTAAAGGTGATTACATTATATTTAGAGGTGTGTCCTTGCCAGCTACATATATGAGAGAGAATATTAGGAATATTGTCTCATTACCTCCCAAAGATTAGGAGTCATGAATTACACTTCATCCCTGACTAAACTCTTTTTTTTCCTCCAATGAAAGCCTCCTTTGAGACAGAAAATTACTCTCAGACTTGTAGGAACACTTAGGGCCGTGACACCACCTCCCACAGGCCTTCGTACGTTTGACAATAGCTAATCATTCCACATCCTTCCCCACAGGAGTTTCTTCACTTAGCTGCAAAGTTTCCAAAGTGTTCATAACCCCTGAAGTATTTGTGTTGTTACAAAATAATACATCCACTGCATAATAATTTGAAACTTTGACCTGTTTATGTTTGGGGTCAATCAGAAGAGTAAAATAATCAATGAAATAAAAAAAAAAAAAACGGGTCAAGTATAAAATTGCATTAGGAGACTGAATGCTAGCAGTCGTCATCTCCTTTAGTTCCAGAGTTCAGTCGAGGACTTCTTGTCCCTGGCGTCTGACCACAGTATTTCCAGCAGCATTAGGTTATCTGCTCTCGAGAGATTAACCGATTTTCTCTGGTTTGGAGGAATGAGTGAGAGCCGCACAGCTCTGGCAGCGAGAAGCCTGAGCCCAAGCAACCAGAGAGACTGGGACTTAACAGTCAGGGTGTTTACATGGATGCACATTAATATTCAGGATTCAGCCTCAACTGTGAGAAGCTCTTTTGTATATACATGAAGCAATCAATAACGTAACAGTCTGTAAGGGAAAACCAGATACTGTATAGTACATCTTGTGTACGTTGGTTATTAGTTTGTTTTTACAGGTCTTGAAAACTTAGGTTGAGCTGGAGGGATTCATTCAGCTTCTGCAGGTTTCAACACTTCTGCACTGGATTCATTTCTCAGCCTCAGAGGCGGCCGCTCGGTCTCAATGAGCACCTTAGTCACTTCATTGTTAAAGCAACAACGGCAGTCTTACTGGGTCGGACCTAGTAACGTTCACAGGGACAAGTCTGTGCTGCAAATCCTTTTGCAAGACCGCCCTTGGGTCCTCTCTGCCAACTGTTATTTTTAATCAAAACACATGGAGTGGAGTGCAGCATGTGTTTCGGATTTCACTTCTGCAGACAATCAGTGCAGATTTGGCTTCACTCTCATGCTGCCTGGTCAAATACTCATAACAGCAGATGCTTTTAACAAATTAGGCCAAGTGTGATGCGGGTTCCCATAGTTCTTCTCCGAGCCTGTGAACCGGCAGCAGCGCATCACACAGTGATGACATCATGTGTTACTGGTGCTGCAGGGATGATCACAGTGAAGCCTCAGGGGTGTATTTTAGTTTGATAGCACACTGAAGGATAATGTGCACTTTGAAATAATGCCACATAAGAGTAGCTGGGGAAAGCCGACCTCTAGTTTTGGTAGTTTTTTTTTTTGGAAGTTCACACACTAAAGCCTGTTTTGATCGGCGTGAAGAATCACAGGCAATAGAAATATTAATCTGCTTCTCAAACATAATCAAAGTTGTGCCCCGATGATTCAACATAGTCAAATACTGCACATTCTCTTCTGTTGGGAGCATTGGGTTTGGTGATAAAGCCATCCAGAAATGTGCCCCTTCAAAATAAATACTGTACTTGACAATCTTTTTGTATTTCGGGTGTTCTGTGTTCAGCAACTGCAGTAAATGGCTTGATGTTTCCTTGCAAAATAAGCTTTAGATCCTTTGTGAAAGGTTTGTTATCCCAATGTTTCAAATAGCTTAACTTTAAAATTATCTGTTAGAAAAACCATATGAAGGATACAGTTCCATTGATTTTGGAACAATACTTACTTTTGCCAGTCAAATACTTAGAGTAACATTGTTCCATATTTATAATTCATTTGGTATGAATTATGTTTTTTCATATTTAGCTCATTTTGTTACAAAATCCCTCAAATAAACAAAGGCAACCTGGTACAGAGGCTGCCACAGACTTGGCTTCATCACATCTTGGAATGAGTTTCTGTGCTTTCCTGATGTATTTGTATTATTCTTTGGCTTTGAGGGGAGCTAAATGTTTAACCACCAACCAAAGACACTGATTATTTGATTAAGGGGCTACAGGGTAAAACTGCAGGGGGCCAACGAAATTAAAGAGCATAATAGAGCAGAACTAAACAAAACACTGGGTTGGCCCTAATCCTCCCTGTGGATATGTGCATCTTTGTATTTGTAGACTTTACAATATGTATTTCTATAAAGATCAAATCACTGAACAAGAATACAGAGAAAAAAAAACATCTGAAGAGAAGGTGTTTTGCCCTTCGTCACTTTATTAAAAGGCTGACTTTAGGTTAAGACCTGGGTTTGGATCTGAATTTGCTTTAGGCCTTCCACTGGAAAGACAGCAACAGGGCTGGCCTGATTTTCAAAGCCATGTTTAAACAAAAAAGGCTTTTATTTTTCTAGCTTCCCTAGAGTCCAGCGTTGCCAGGAAATACCAAATATTTCAGGCTAGATTATGGTCAAATGTTAAAATCATGCACAAAACAATCTTTACTAAAAGTCCTTTTAAATGTGCACACTGCATGTATCCTTGATGCCTAACCAATTTGTCGAATGCTTCCTTGTTCCTAGTTGTCGGTCACTTGCTACCTACTTATTAGCTAAAGTATCTTGAAATAATGCTCAGAAAGTGGTGCGGTCTTCTATTCACTTATCGTAAGAGACCCAGGAACCATAAGCAGCACTGGTTGTTTGTGCATGTGCCTGTAAACACATTAGTTTATGTTTAGCTGACAAGGGCCTGGGGTGGCTGTGTGAATTATGTGTATATTTTGTCATTTGTTGTTGCGGAGCTGTAGACAGTTACAATTTGCTTTAACTTTATTTTATTGCTTGCAGTTCAGTACCTGACAAACACAGTTCTACATCCACTATAGCACTGGAAATATATTTCTAGCTCTTATACTGTTTGACTTTAAGAAGGAATGAATAATCTTCAGCCTGTTGTTAACCTGTGCAACCTTAAATTGCCTATTTATACAAAAGCTGATTACCAGCCAAATAAATTGAGATCTCACTCTATCACCTGAAGTCAGCATTGTTTTTACAAACACAGATTGAAATCCTGACTCAAGTGTCTGGCTCACAGTCTTTGAGCATATTGGTACAGTAACAATCTGGACAGTCCAGCTTTTTTGAACAGGATGCCAGTTGCACCAGGCAGTGCTTCCATGTTGCATAACAGTCTATTACAGATTGGGAAAATAGATTGTCTATTTGCTCCAACTGACCTCAATCTCTGGCGATATTGAATCTGCTGTTGGACCTTGCCCTAGTTGTAATCTATATGCAAAAGCAATGTAGCATCCACAATATTAAATGCCCAGAGGTGATTTAAAAGATGTGGGGGATGATTAAAGTATGTAAGGTAAATGTTTACTGCTCAAATAGTACCAATAATACCGCCTCAATCTCCTAAGGTGGAATTTGTCACTCTATACGCCACGTCAAACAACTTCCTCCTTTTCTCGTGTCGTGATCGCACGAGGTCTAGCACAATAGTTACTGTTGGCACAAACGGCATAGAGGAGCATAGTCTCTGCAGCTAATAGACTATGCACTGAAGACCAGAAGTTATTTTAGAAGTTTCACTTTTGTGTATCTTTATACAGTTTTGTTTATTCCCAGTCTGCCACAGCCTCTTAACACAGCTATTTCCTCGCCCTTTTAAACTCCTTCCCTCCTGTTTAATATCATTTTTTCTTTATTTTATCAATATATCCCATCTTCAATACTTTCTCCTACTCTGTTCCTTTCCTTTACTCTCCGTCTGAGGATATGGATGTGCCAAGCTGAAAGATGATGGACGGATGATTAAACATTTGCCTCCCCGAGTGACAAAGAGAGAAAAGTGTTAGAAAGAGATTTGGGACGGATTTGGGAGAAGGCAGATGAGGGTGAGAAGGATGTGTTAAATCAGCTGTAGGGAGAGATGTATAAAGACAAAAGGAATGAAAGTGATGAAATGGAGGAAGGAAAGAGGGCAAAGAAAGTACGGAGGGTTATGAAGTGATATCCAAAATTTCTCCTGCCCTGTGTGGTCCTCGTGGCCTCCTCCACATACTAATGCCATGTGTTAAGTTTCAGGCAGGGAAGGATCCAAAATGCAGATAAACTCTGGTTCCAATAGTTTATCAGTCTTTATTCAAAAATAAGAAACTAAAGTACTTGGTGATCTACCTGACAGGACAGAACTCATGGTCAAGGAGCCAAAAACTAAACTCTGGTAACAAACTCAGAACGACGAACCTACTGAATCTAAAACCGAGGCAGTAGAGCGTCAAACTCAAGTGCCCAGAACCAAAGTGAAGGCAAAGGAACCAACCGGGTGTGGAGATCAAGGAGGGAGCACAGGAGACAGGACCAAGCAAGGCATGGAGACCAGTCTGAGCGAAGGGAGGAGGATATATGGACAGGAGACCAGGAGGTAACGAGCAGCAGATGGAAACAATGAATGGTGATTGTGACCGGAGTAAAGCTGGGGAAAGTGAGGTGATATAAGACAGGAAATAACCAAAATAAAAGCACCAAACAGGAAGCCAGTCCACAAGCCATAACACCACGACCACATTATCAATCCCAAACCAGAGTTTTATAACTAGACTGAGGTTCTGAGCCAAAAATGTCCTTATGTAACCCTGTTTTCTCACACCGCCTTGGGACAACAGCTGAAGTTTTTCTTCTTATCATAACTGGAACACTTTATTCTAATTTAATTATAAAAAAGGCTCAGCATTTCTCTTAAATCACTAAAGAAAAGTTTGTTTTAATTCAGTTATGTAACTCTTTTGGAAAACATGTAACAACATGGAAAACATGACTACTGGCAGTAACTGTTGAATTCAGGTAAACCTGCACATGGTAAAAAGGAAGTTAATTGAATTCTGAGGACTTCATTACCCAGATTTCTTGCAGCAGGATATTAGCAGCACTATCACGTCTTAAACATGGTGAATACGAGCAGATGGGAAACAAGTAGCTATGAAGTGTAGTGACGGCTGTAGGCTTGGCAAAAAGGAGTGCAGTGTTGACACTGTTCACAAAATGGTTTTGTGTGTGCTTTTCCTTCATTCTTCTGACATTATGCCTTTTTTGTCAGCAAATTATATTACATACATTTCCTGGGATATTCAAGTCATGGCAGAATTAATTTTGTTCTTGCTGCCTCTGAATTTTCGAGGCTTGACAAAGAGACGAGAGTGGGAATGTTGTGGATTCAGTTGCGCACACACAGATACACACTGTTATCACTCAGATGTGAGCAGCTGTTCATTCCTTACATGGCCAAACATCTCTTCATGAAATAAGAATTTTATTGGAGCAGTTGTGTGCTGCTCTTTTATAGAGGTGGGAAAGTTAGCTCAACCATCCATCAGATATACTGTCTAAAAACACTTGTCCTGATCTGAGTCCTTAAATAACGAGTGTCTGCTGATACCGAGTCTAATCTGTCAGTTTAGTATGACCAGTCTAACTTTGCCTGGTTCGGCCCTGATACCGATCCTTATACACACAAATATACATATTCTACTTTAGGAAATTGTTGATGATTTCAGCAGCTTGCATCTCTGCCATACCCTCGTTTGTAAAAACGGGTGAAGATGGAGTTCCCATGAGCACACAGCTCCTTGGAGAATTTAATTTACTCACTTACTTCTCCAACATGTTGGATATCTCTTCTTAAACATTAGTCTTACATAGTGAATTCATAAAAAGCAGATACAGTGCCTTGCGAAAGTATTCGGCCCCCTTGAACTTTGCGACCTTTTGCCACATTTCAGG